CCTTAAAGCAGTGTTTTCAACCTTTGAACCGTGGTTCGTTAATCATTTAAAAACAGTCACATGCACAGTTGAAACTGGTGCTAGGAAGAGAACTGCAGCTCTTAATGGACGCTGCATTTAGTACAAAATGGTTTGTTCAGACAATTAAAGTTTGAAAAATGATTTAAAGCATTTCTGAATTTTGGCTAAAGGTGATATTGGATCATTTCTGATAACACATAGACGCAACACTGTTCATTGGTTGAAAACAAAGATGTAGGGACATTTTTTGAAATCTTTTATGACATGTTTCTCTTCCAAATAGCTAAATTAGAAACAATTAGGACAATTATGTCTTTGATATAACTGTTGGCAGTTTATCTGAGACATGATTGGCGCAAGTACAACAACACATAGGACAATGGTCTTTTCTCCACATGAACGTGAAACAAAGGTGAAGTATTAAAGTTTGAAACTAATTTACATTTTTAAGGAATCCGAACTGGCTTTAAAAAAAAAAAGGGAAAAACATTTATTGCACGTGCATGAGTTTTTTTTTAGTAACAAGAGCTCATTAAAAATATAGGGGACACAGTTTGTGACAAGCCCGAGTAAAGACCACGTGGTTTAAACACTAAAGTTTGAAATGGATCCTTTTAGGAAAAATCTCTCAAAGCTTTGCATGTTCTGCAGGCTCTGAAAGTTGCAACTATAAAATAGCTCATGAGACAATTGTAATTGGACATGGAAAAATATAACAAAGTTAAAATTACAGGCCTCTTGTGTATGTTATATGTTTGTGTATGTTATATGTTTGTGTATGTTATATGTTTGTGCGTCATGTCCAATACACTACGTTGACCTTAACAAACTGGACCAATACTAACGTGGGCCTGTTGTGAGTGTGTTGTGAGTGTGTGTGAAATGGGGAGTGGACGAGGAGTGCTGAACGGAGAATGGAATAACAAAAGTTTTCTGTAATGTTTTAATGTGATCATGGAATAATTATTTTTTGTCAACAGCATACGGTGTAAGTACTAGAGATTCAAAGATAACAAGCTTTATTGAACAGGTGTAAAAGTGAGAGTACTCTGGGATGAGTACTCTGAGAAAAGTACTCTGCGGAAAGTACTCTGAGATGAAATACCTCGCTGAAGGTACTGGGAGCCCCTCCCTCTGCTGTTTGTCCGGACAGTGATTCGGTCCAACCGCAGTGAGCGGTCATTGGGCGGAGGACAACTTTGGTTTGTAATTCACATTTAGGGGAGTATAAAATTAGAAACATACATATTGTTAAGTCTGTATTTGGCTACAGCCTCTGCCCTGATGTCACACACCGTCTGTCAATGCAGTTATGTTTTGCCCAATTGGATTGATTGACAGGCTGCACCATGCGAAGAGAGGAAAGTGGGTGTTTCTTGTGTTCTAATGTTTGTTTTTCAGATGAAAGATAAACTGCACCTGCTTCAGGGATGACAGTAGTATGAATTAAGGAAATGAGCCTCTACTTTGGCACCAAAGCCCACAATATGAATTGAGGACGATCCGGGAGGAGCAACAGGATTGGAACAGTAATCTACACACACATACAGATGCATGTTTTATACTTTGGACCACGACCAACAGAGGGGAGTATTGTATTGTCATAGGTGGTCATGGTCCTTAACCTTCTAAATCATTAGAAAGAAGTGTAAAACATATATTTACAAGAACAAATAAATAATAGAAAGGGCAGCCTAAAAAAGCAAAATGGGAAAATTATTAAGTAATTTTCGGAGTTGCCAAAATGAAATAAAATTCTATATTTGTCCCATAGGGGGTCATTCTAAATTTAGTGTTGTGCAAATTCAAAAGGAGAAATAATAGCGCTTATAACATCAAACGGATCTACTCTTTAAGATAATAGATCATATAATAATAAGATAATAATAGAATAGAATGAAATAGTCTGGAGCTATAATGTCATTGGATTCGAGGAGCTATAGGTTGAAGTGTCAGAATAAACAATAGTAATAATAGTTATACTAGTGAACAATCAAAATAGTTCTATTGTGGAAATAAGTATCAATAAGGTCAAATTGTTCTAATAACTAAAGTAAAAAGGAATCAAATGGAGTCAGATTTTAGATGTTTCTGTTTTCCACATCTGTAGGAACTGGTGCAGAGGTGTTTATAGAGAGTAGTATTAAAATGCAGACATAGAACGACAGGCTTTAACACAATTTTAAATCTAAAAATAGCTCAAATATAACATTGCTCTTGACGCAGCCTCTGAGCTGCTCCATTGGAGAACAGGTTAAATGTTATTGTTTATTACAAACAGCTGATGTATTTACACACATTAAGTTTGGGACAACTCTTTAAACAGTTATAAGCAGTGGACAGAAGCCATGAATGTGCTTTTGTTTATTAAATAATTAATTTCATAGCCTTATAATCGTAGAGAACGTTTTAAAATAGTTAAAATCCCTTTCAGGCAACTTGATTTAGATGTATGTCTTTAATATTGGAGAACGACTGTGTTGTTTTTGGAATTGTCTGAAATACAATACATAGAATAATGATTTGCAGAACAAGAACCGGCCAATAAAAAATCGTCTATTGCCAATGCTATTGTTACAATCAGAACTCAAAAATTGGGAATATGCCTTTGCTCAAGCTGCAACCGAGCTTTAGAGTCACAATAGAGTAAAAATAGGAATAGATAAATGCATCAACCATAGATGCTTTCAAAAATAGAGATTATTTTTAGCCAAGGCTAATATCAAACGGTAAAAGGACCATTTCCTTCATATTATGTCTAAAAGTATTTACTTCAAAGGTAGATAAAGTTCATTACAGTTTATGCACAGTTTTATTAGATACTGTCAAATTCACTTGTTTCAAACATGGGTGAATGTTGACAATGCAAAAAGCTAATGAGATAGATTAATGAGATCGATTAGAACCAACACTTTAATTGCATTTTAATGTATTTGGGTATAGCACAAAAGTAGATCTTTAGGTAGTTTTGAGAATTTTAAGAGCTGTCGATTTGTCAGCAACAGATTAGAGAATCAAAATACCGTTGTATAGGGACTGACCCCAGAGAAACCTGCTAAAATGGATTAGCTCCTGTACGGATAATACCAATTTGATTAACGATGTACATTTATCCCAAACGGTCTGAGAGAAGGAAGTGACAGCACTTCCTGGTTCAACAAAATGTGTTTGGAAAAATGAGCAAAGCCCCACAAAATGGCACAGAGCCACTGATAATGACAGCAAACCACAGTATAGATAGATTTATTAGATAAAAACATATGTTTAAGAATAGGGCTCAATAAAAGCAAAATATGCAAACATATTTGTGAATAGATTAGAATAGTTTAAACTATAGTGAATAGTTTTAGTGCATACATTACAGACGAGGTTGAAGAAGAATCAGAATGACAGCAGTGGTCATCGAAGAGTTTTGTGAAGGAATGTTTCGAATGTTGTTGTGTGTGTATTCTTTTTGTATTAATTCTTCACAGATAACGAGCCAGAACCAAGAACCAAGGCGATGATGGACGAGCTCCCCAGTCTCGGCACCCAGGAGGAATATTGAAAGATTGTGACCTAAATTGGTTTAATATAGGTCAACAGAGGGGAACTGTTGTATATTTTAATATTTGACCATTTGAACATCATAGCTAGTAAGACCTCTGTGCACTCAGGAAAAACCCCAAGGACACAGGATAATCAGACATGAGTCATAAAGATAAAATGCTGTTTAAACAGGGCGAATTATTAACTTTAAATAATAAACATTTTGACGAGGACAAAAGTACAGAACCTGATCTTGAGGCAGACTGGGAGATTCACCAACTGCATTCTGACGCCTCCCAGTGGATAGGGGACGTCAGCACACCCGGAAACCTCCACCCTTGGACGCATAAGGATGACGTCATCGGAAGTCTCCCTCATGAGCCCGTGTGTGTGTGTTTTTTGAGGTCAGACAGGACAGGGCACGGACAGGGAAAGACCAGGCAGAGAATAGGAGCACTTTTGTTGAACATTCTGTATCTGATTGTAAAGATAATTAAATGCAGATGTTAAACTTGAATATCGTTTGCCTTACTTCTGCAACCATTTTGAAACACGTTAGTCAAAGGGAATTATTGACTACAGGTAGAGTAAAGTTGAATAGAGTAGAGTAGAGTAGAGTAGAGTAGGGGAGAGTAGATTAGAGTAAAAAATCCTGATTTGACAGTATAAATAAACATGCTGCTAAACCCTAAAATAGACGATATCAAAAACAAACATACTGTGTCTTCGGTGTTGGGAGCTCTGACAGTGAAGTGTGCAGGATTCACTTCTCACTTTAGTTTCCTGGAGAAACAAATATTGGGCAAGGGCTGTGAAGTGGTTGATGACAAAACTGCCATTGAAAATGATCATGCCATTGTTTACTTTTTCATTTCTACTTTTATAATACTGGTAAAAGGTCTTCTGTAGAGAATATATGGAGATACTCTAGTATGCCCAACACCATCCCTATACCGCCACCAGAGGGCGCTGTAAGAACCTCGATCCACTTGAGAAATTATAGAATTGTATTTATGCGCAAAACTCTGTAATAGATCCATGGCAATACTTCTAAAACTACTTATTTCTCTTTTTCTTCTCTGACAATGTTCAAATTTCTGGTTAAAACAGTTCTATTTAGCTGTGCAACAATTGATTGTATGTACTGTGTTTTTTTTAATATACTGTGATTATATATGAATATATGACGTATTCTTGTTTTGATCATAGACTGTATTTATTAATTATATATTATTTATTATTGTATATAATCTTGTTTTGATGCACGTTGAGTTGCCTCGTTCTGCTAGGAGACCACGCCCACAAGAGTCTTCGGCCGGCGCTCGTGATCACTCGTCCTTTTCCGTGGACCCAGTTAGCTTTAGCCGCTAACTTCAGTCGCAGTTCAGTCCTGTCGTCATGTCTGGTACAGTGGTCAACAAATGCTTCTCTCCTTTGGCTTTCCTCTCCAGGAGACTGTCTGCCCCGGAGTTTATCAGTAGATGCTGTTATCACGACAAGGTAAAGCTTTTAAATAGTAATAATTATAATAAGCTAACATAATGAGATGTTATGTGTGTGTCATTGACAGGTCAGGGATGTTTGGTAACTCTGAACCTAAACGTTATTTGACATTATAAAACAGATCTGGTGCAGGCTTTTAGTTACACTACTTACACTGGCTTTGTTTGGGTTTGCTGTCACTGCTAAGTCTAATCTTATTGTTTTAGATCTGTTTTTCAATGTCCCTATGTTGTTGTTGTTGTTAAAGGTAGGAGGATTTGTCTTCTCGCAGGTGGATCATCAAGACTATTGGTTCTCCTGATTGTCACTCATTCTGGTGATACGTGCTCGTCAAATAAGACCAGAAAGTTTTGTTCAAAAAGTGGAGAGAGCTGTTCTTTTTTTCTATAATTTGCTAAAATCCTCATATACGTTAAGCAAAGGACAAGGACAGGGTTTATTGACGATCACCACAGACACAAACAAGGCTACAGACCACAATTGTTCACTTAACTCTCATATCAGGTGCTGAAAAGAACCAGAGTCATTGTGCAGTCAGTAAACAGTTCAGCATAACCATGTGACGAAGGCAGAGCTGCGTCCACATGGTAACCTGAGCAGAAAGAGTCTTGTAAAAGTAAAATGAACACAACATTCTTTCTTCATCTTTAGTAGAAAATACGTTATCAGTTGTGTAAGAAGGATCCTTGTGAGTCACTATTTGACTCTTTGGAATGAAAGCAGATGTGTGGCTGGTCCACTCTATTTTTACTGATCCGTATTGATAATAAAAAAATCAGGATTCAGGAAAGCTCTAGAAACCAATCTTTAATGATACTGCCTGGTAATGTTGTTGTCACAGTGACTCAGCACACTTTTTGGATCTGGTGTCTCTCTGCTCTCTTTCTCTGGTCTCTCTCCCTGGTCTCTCTCTGGTCTCTGGTCTCTGTGATATACTGTGATGTCTGGTTTCTAAAATGCTTTTATTTGTAGGTTGTGGATCACTATGAAAACCCCCGGAATGTGGGCTCTCTGGATAAAAACTCTAAGAATGTGGGGACAGGTCTGGTGGGGGCCCCTGCCTGCGGAGACGTGATGAAGCTTCAGGTCGGTTCATTTTCATCATCAGTATTCAACAACTGCGTCAGCTCCTGACTCTGTCCTGTGGCTATTTGTGGGAATTGAGTTTGATATCAATTTTTGTTTCGTTTTTTCCATTAAACGTTCACTTCTCACTTCTGTCATGAGTCACTGCTGACATCTGGTGTTTAGATAACATAACATAAACAGTTCAATTCAATTTATTTGTGTCTCGCCCTAAATCACAGCATCAGTCGTCAGATCAAAGAACCAAGAAGTTCAGACACAGGAAATGCTATAATAATAAACACGTAAAGCCATTGGTCCTTAGGGAGCGGGACGACTGAGGCTGTAGACCCAGGACTGAGGCTGTGTAGACCCAGGACTGAGGCTGTGTAGACCCAGGACTGAGGCTGTGTAGACCCAGGACTGAGGCTGTGTAGACCCAGGACTGAGGCTGTGTAGACCCAGGACTGAGGCTGTGTAGACCCAGGACTGAGGCTGATGGGGTGCAGGCCGGATTCAGGGGTCTCATCATCACTCCATGAAACAGACAATGGGACAGAGGGTGAATAGAAATGAACAGCTGAAGTCAAAATGATAAGATACAGAGGACAGTGCTGTTGCCAGCCCTCTCCAGCAGGGGGCTCCATAGGCAGCCTGTCTAACTTACACTGTTTGTTCCACAGATTCAAGTGGACAATGAGGGAAAGATTGTGGACGCTCGGTTCAAAACGTTCGGCTGCGGTTCTGCCATTGCCTCCAGCTCTTTGGCCACAGAGTGGGTCAAGGGCAAGTCGGTCGGTGAAGTTCATACAGTCATAAACTCAAAGCACAAAGACTTCTCCTTGTCATGTTTCTGTTGTGTTTAGGTCGAGGAAGCTCTGACGATAAAGAACACAGACATCGCCAAGGAGCTTTGTCTTCCACCGGTGAAACTTCACTGCTCCAGTAAGTCCAAGTCCAAGTCTTGCTCTCTGCTCTCTCTCTGGTGTCTCTCTCTGCTCTCTCTCTGGTCTTTCTCCCTGGTCTCTCTCTGCTCTCTCTGGTCTCTCGCTCTCTGGTCTCTCGCTCTCTGGTCTCTATATCTCTGGTCTCTATATCTCTGGTCTCTATATCTCTGGTCTCTATATCCCTGGTCTCTCTCCCTGGTCTCCCTATGTTCTCTCTCTGGTCTCTCTCTCTGGTCTCTCTCTCTGGTCTCTCTCTCTGGTCTCTCTCTGGTCTCTCTCTGGTCTCTGTTCTCCCTCCCTGGTCTCTATCCCTGGTCTCTCTCTGCTCTCTCTGGTCTCTCGCTCTCTGGTCTCTCGCTCTCTGGTCTCTATATCTCTGGTCTCTATATCTCTGGTCTCTATATCCCTGGTCTCTCTCCCTGGTCTCCCTATGTTCTCTCTCTCTGGTCTCTCTCTCTGGTCTCTCTCTCTGGTCTCTCTCTGGTCTCTCTCTGGTCTCTCTCTGGTCTCTCTCTGGTCTCTGTTCTCCCTCCCTGGTCTCTATCCCTGGTCTCTATCGCTGGTCTCTATCGCTGGTCTCTATCGCTGGTCTCTATCCCTGGTCTCTATCCCTGGTCTCTATCCCTGGTCTCTCTCCTTGGTCTCTCTCCCTGGTCTCTCTCCCTGGTCTCTATCCCTGGTCTCTATCCCTGGTCTCTCTCCCTGGTCTCTCTCCCTGGTCTCCCTCTGTTCTCCCTCCCTGGTGTCTCTCCCTGGTCTCTCTCTAGTCTCTCTCTCTGGTCTCTCTCTATTCTCCTTCCCTGGTCTCTCTCTCTGGTCTCTCTCTCTGGTCTCTCCCTCTCTGGTCTCTCCACACTATAACAGTCTCGCTTGTGTCTCTAGTGCTCGCTGAAGACGCCATCAAAGCGGCCCTCGCCGACTACCGCCTGAAACAGCAGGATGACCAGCAGGAGGCAGTGAGGAAGAACTGATCCTGGTCCTGGTCCTTGTCCTGGTCCTGTGCTGGTTCAGGTCCGCACTCACCTCTGAGATGGACCATGTGGCAGCGCATGGTCCTCTCCATACCAGTCGCTCTTTTCTCCTGTCACTCAAACGCACAACAGAAACTGTGGGCAGAAGACACGGTGGTTCGGCCTTATTTATGAGACTTGTGTTTAAAGATGGAAGACGGAGGTGTTGGCAGTCTCTCTCTCTGTCTGGTCTCCCTCTCTTGTCTCTCTCTGTGGTCTCCCTTTCTGGTCCCCCTCTGGTCCCCCTCTGGTCTCTTTCTGGTCCCTCTGGTCTCTTTCTGGTCTCTCTCTGGGCTCTCTCTGGTCTCTCTCTGGTCTCTCTCTCTGTCTGGTCTCCCTCTCTTGTCTCTCTGTGGTCTCCCTTTCTGGTCTCTCTTTCTGGTCCCTCTCTGGTCCCCCTCTGGTCTCTTTCTGGTCCCTCTGGTCTCTTTCTGGTCTCTCTCTGGGCTCTCTTTGGTCTCTCTCTGGTCTCTCTCTCTGGTCCTGGAGCTGACGCCTCTAGTATAACTTCTGCTTTCCCTGCTTCATTCTAAGTATAACTTTTATATGCACAAACGCGGCTTCAGAAAAGTCCGTTGGTTTAAAGTCCGTTAGAAAAAGTATTATTTGTTGAAATAAAATTAATAAAAACATTTTTGAAGATGTTTATTTTGTGATCACACACATTGTCTGTCACACACACTTGTATTATTATGCTCATAGAAAAATATTTCTTCAGTGTGAACACACGTCAGTATCAATGTTATTCATTCACTCGAAACACTGTGGTGATAAACTACTGTAGCCACAGCTGCCCTGGGGCACACTGACAGAAGCGAGGCAACCAGTCTGTGCCATCAGCCCCTCCCACCACCACCAACCATTCACACACACACACACACACCAGACTTATTCTAATGTGGGGGAAGTGTCTTGCCTAAGGACGCAATCACAGTTTGGCACTTTACAGGCACAGCCGCCTCACTGGCACCTGCTGTTCCCAAAAGTCTCCCATCACAGGACTAACCAGGAGCTGCCCTTCTTAGCTTCAGAGGTCTGACAGGACCTTTCATCTGCAGGAATGGCCACAGGCTCCATAAGTTTATCATTGCATGCTTTGTGTTTGAACTGTTGGATTCTCTGATCTGTGTTGGTGAATCCACAACTTTGTAGTAAACTCCTCCGAGATTCCCGGTTGTGATTTAGGGCGAGACAAACATAATTAAGTCAGAACGCGGTCTTCTCTCCCTGGATGAGCTGCAGTGAGGGGGGGTCAGGGCCGAGCAGAGACCGCGGCCGTGCGTCTCTGTGGACGGACGCGTCCTGAGAGCCGCTGCAGCTGGAGCTCTCCTCGGAGCACGCAGACGCCTCACTGAGGGACACCTGACCTGGCTCACGCTCCTCGGGGAGACAGGGCAGCAGCTCCTCCGCCTCCCCCGCCCTGCCCCCCCGCAGAGCCCTGGCAGCCCTTTGGATATCCGCCTGGAGCTGCAGGCGGGTGTCCACGGCCTGCACACCCGCCTGCAGCACGGTCTTCCCCGGTGCGTCACTGAAGCTCTGCGCGCCCCCGGTCTTGTCCCGGTGGTCCACGTACATCCGGGAGGGAAACGACGCGGGGTAATACGCGTTGAATTTTCGCTTGCGGCTCATGAAGAACGCTCCGCAGAGAACCAGGAGGGCGAGGAAGAGCAGCGTGATGGTGACCAGGACCAGGAGCGTGTTGTCCCGCAGGAAGTCCTCCACGCGCTTCAGGGCGTCCGCGTTCACGTGGGGGGCCGCAGGGGTGGTCACGGGCTCGGAGACAGGGGAAGAGGATGGAGAAGGGGATGAAGATGGAGAAGGGGATGAAGATGGAAAAACAGAGGTGCTGTTGAAAAGTTCCTCTTCGTCTGTGCTTCCCTCAAAAGCGCCGAGAAGTGGGACTGGACTGGACAAAGTGCTGTGGACCATGAGCAGGGACAAAGTGCTGTGGACCATGAGCAGGGACAAAGTGCTGTGGACCATGAGGACAGTCTTCATGTTGACTTCTGCACAAAAACACAGCACGTTACATCTGCAGCTCATCACCAAAGTAACATGTTTTGTATCACTTATCCACAGACTCTACTCAGAGGTTGCTGGTATAAAATACCAGATACTAAAGCGTAATGGATACACAACCAGGTATAGAGTAGAATAGACATATAGCTCTGAGTAGAGCCGCTGCACCTCCATGTGGAGAGGAGCCAGTGAAGGAGGCTCAGCTGTTTGGGATGCCTCCTGGTCTTCTCCCTGGGGAGGTGTGTGAGATTTCATAACACTTTGAAGCAACTTTTGTTATAGTTAAACTCATCATTCTATCAATGTGCAGAAGCCTGTACTTTTCCACTTAATGTTTTGTCTATCTGAAGGCCAAGCTACATGGCACTGTGGAAGCTGCTGATTGGAGGTCTCCATGCCTCCGCTCTGTATAATACACTTGAATTCTGTTGTGTGTGTTGTTCGTGCTGTCTCTACCATCGACAATAAAACATGTCTTCTGTCTGAATTTAAGACGCAATCCCAGACTTGGCGCATCTTCTTCAGGTGTTTTGGGCATGTCCCACAGGAGGAGACCAGGAGGAGACCAGGAGGAGACCAGGAGGAGACCAGGACACAGAGGACTGTGTCTCTGCTCGGAAAAAAGTTAGTTATGAAAATACAAGCCTCAGACTCAGTCTTAGACTCGGACTCAGCCTCAATCTTAGACTCAGTCTCAGTCAAACCACAGATAAATAGAATCCGTGACTTTGCTTTACATTATTGCTGTATCTCTCAGTTTTCAGACGGTTTTCTTCTGAAAAAAAACAAAACACTATTCTTGTGTTTGTGAGAGAAAGAGCCTTAAACTTTCCACTACTGCATCTGTGAGCAAGCTCAACCTCTGCCTTCATCTGGAGAGAGAGGGGGAGGGGAGACAGGCTTCTCACAAAACCAACACCCGTCTAAAACTCATTCACAACAAACTCATCTGCATCAGAGACATAAATCTGGAACTCACCACCAACAGCGTGTGATCTTCAGAGAGGGGCGAGGGTCGGGGCTCTTCTGGTCTCCTCTGGTTCAGGTTTCAGTCTGTCTGCAGAGAGAGGAGAGGGTCTGGGCTCTTGCGGTGGTCTCCTCTGGTTCAGGTTTCAGTCTGTCTGCAGAGAGAGGAGAGGGTCGGGGCTCTTCTGGTCTCCTCTGGTTCAGGTTTCAGTCTGTCTGCAGAGAGAGGAGAGGGTCGGGGCTCTTCTGGTCTCCTCTGGTTCAGGTTTCAGTCTGTCTGCAGAGAGAGGAGAGGGTCGGGGCTCTTCTGGTCTCCTCTGGTTCAGGTTTCAGTCTGTCTGCAGAGAGAGGAGAGGGTCTGGGCTCTTGCGGTGGTCTCCTCTGGTTCAGGTTTCAGTCTGTCTGCAGAGAGAGGAGAGGGTCTGGGCTCTTGCGGTGGTCTCCTCTGGTTCACATCTGTTGGCAGAACCCTGGACGGAGGACAAACCCCTCCTCTAGCTCCTCGCTCCTCCCTCTTTCCTCCAGCCGGGTCTGCACAGCCTGCTCCGCTCACACATTGTTTTGGTTACAGGGAGTTTAGAAGGCGACAAACCCCAAACCGTCAAAGACACAGGCTTCAGAACGATGGTCCGACTCAGATCACTTACACACTACAGCACTTTATTCACAGCATTGAAATCAGTCCTTAGACTTCAGTAGAGTCTAAACACTGCAGTTCCAGATACATGCAATAGTGAGGCCCTTGTTTGGTTGTTTTCAGGGGCAGACCTGGAGCTGGGGGATGTAGGCTTGAGCACACGCACACACCCACACACACACACACACACACACACACACACACACACACACACACACACACACACACACACACACACACACACACACACACACACACACACACACACACACACACACACACACACACACACCACTTAAGGACACATGTGACTGCGTTTATCCCGGCGAGCGTCGGCATCTGTCAGAACAAGTCACACTTTATATGGTCATTAAACAGAGAGAAGCAGCAGCGTTTACACCGAGACCGGTCTGAGAGAACTCACTGTCACAACATGAACAAGATGAAATACACACACGCACGCACAAATATGTATAAACATAGACAATTTGAAAGTCTTACAATTTCCCTTATTTGTGAATAGCAAGATCTATTTTATTGCCATAAAGATAAACTTCACCTCTATCTCTGTCTCTCTCTCTGGTCTCGCTCTGGTCTCTCTCTGGTCTCGCTCTGGTCTCTCTCTGGTCTCTCTCTGGTCTCTCTCTGGTCTCTCTCTGGTCTCTCTCCAGGGGTGTCCAAACCTTTTAGTAAGAAGGCCACTTTAGTTCACCAGACTAGTCCACAAACTGAAAAACTGCCTTGACTGTTCTGAGCTTCATGATGATTTATAACAGTGCTGAAGTTGGCTGAATGACAAATGTTTACCATCTCACCAGCAAATTAGCACCACTAACAGAAGTGATAGAAGTGTATGTGCAAATAAAGTCAACAACATACTGGGCTTTAGAAGAAGGTCTATATGGGCTGAGCTGAAGTTGGATGGATGACTAAGTGAGCGTGTGTTTATGATCTCAAAGACTACTTTAGGTCAGCATGGCACAGGGCCACAGATAATGACACTGAGGGCTGCAATTGGCCCAAGGGCCTGAGTTTGGTCATGCCTGGTCTAGTCTCTCTCTCTCTGGTCTCTCTTTGGTCTCTCTTTGGTCTCTCCCAATGGTCTCTCCCTGGTCTCTCTCTGGTCTCTCTCTGGTCTCTCTCTGGTCTCTCTCTGGTCTCTCTGGTCTCTCTCTGGTCTCTCTCTAGTCTCTCCCTGGTCTCTCTCTAGTCTCTCTCTGGTCTCTCTCTAGTCTCTCTGGTCTCTCCCTGGTCTCTCTCTGGTCTCTCTGGTCTCTCTCGAGTCTCTCTGGTCTCTCTCTGGTCTCTCTGGTCTCTCTCTAGTCTCTCTGGTCTCTCCCTGGTCTCTCTCTGGTCTCTCTCTGTGGTCTATCTCTGGCCTCTCTCTAGTCTCTCTAGTCTCTCTGGTCTCTCTCTGGTCTCTCTCTAGTCTCTCTGGTCTCTCCCTGGTCTCTCTCTGGTCTCTCTGGTCTCTCTCTGGTCTCTCTCGAGTCTCTCTAGTCTCTCTAGTCTCTCTGGTCTCTCTCTCTGGTCTCTCTGGTCTCTCTCTAGTCTCTCTGGTCTCTCCCTGGTCTCTCTCTGGTCTCTCTCTGTGGTCTATCTCTGGTCTCTCTCTAGTCTCTCTAGTCTCTCTGGTCTCTCTCTGGTCTCTCTCTATTCTCTCTCTGGTCTCTCTCTGGTCTTTCTCTGGTCTCTCTTTGGTCTCGCTCTCAGACCAGGTCCTTCCTGTCTCCTGCTGCTGAGTGAAAGACCATAAGTCCATCTGCTTTGGAGATTTGGGGGCCGTCGTCTTTGATCTGAAGTCACATGGTATTTCCTCCTCATAGATACAGTGTTTGTGGTTTGTGTTCTTCTTCCTCACCCCTCTCCCCCCTCATCTCCTTCCTCCCCCCAGTTCATCTTTTCAGACTCTATTAAACCCTGGACAGAAGATTTAAATCCCATGAAGTAGATATGATTTAAATATATTGTGAATTCTGTTTACTAAAGATGAAGACCCGCTGTGTTTAAAGAGACACACACAGGCCTCACCTGAATATAAGCCTCAAGTTTACAGATTCAAACTGCAGTAAAACCACTTTAGAGAGTCTTGCAAGACCTGGACTCCAGCCTCAGTCCTGGATCTACAGCCTCAGTCCTGGCCCTGGGTCTACAGCCTCAGTCCTGGGTCTACAGTCTCAGTCCTGGATCTGAAACCTACCAGTCAATACAATATGATAGCGGGAAGAACACAATTGTATTATTTTATTATCTTACAAACAACAAAACAGTAGCAAATATGAGTGCAGGGTGGAAACAACAACAATAAACTATGAGGACAATACCAGGAACAAACTCGCTCTTAAACCCTTGGCCCCGCCCCCTGATACCTGGTGGACTTACACACCATGTGAACATGGGGAGGGGGCCGTACAGAGCCTTCACTCATTCAAGTTCACCTGGTCCAACTGGTCCCCCACCTGGTCCACCATGTGCTCTCAGTGTTAAGTCCTCTTTAATTCATTTTGTGGCTCCGAAGGTAAGACTCAAAAGTACAACCCTAATTCAAAAACACAGATTGTCAGTGACGCCCCCTGCTGGAGGAGTCCGTTAACAGCACCATCCTCTCCTGTCTGTTCATTGCTATTCACCCGCTGTCCCTTTGTCTCCCAGGCCTGGATCTACAGTCTCAGTCCTGGGTCTACAGCGTCAGTCCTGGATCTACAGCCTCAGTCTGGGGTCTACAGCCTCAGTCCTGGGTCTACAGTCTCAGTCCTGGGTCTACAGCCTCAGTCCTGGGTCTACAGTCTCAGTCCTGGGTCTACAGCCTCAGTCCTGGATCTACGTCCTGGATCTACAGCCTCAGTCCTGGGTCTACAGCCTCAGTCCTGGGTCTACAGTCTCAGTCCTGGGTCTACAGCCTCAGTCCTGATCTACAGCCTCAGTCCTGGTCTACAGCCTCAGTCCTGGATCTACAGCCTCAGTCTGGGGTCTACAGCCTCAGTCCTGGGTCTACAGTCTCAGTCCTGGGTCTACAGCCTCAGTCCTGGGTCTACAGTCTCAGTCCTGGGTCTACAGTCTCAGTCCTGGGTCTACAGCCTCAGTCCTGGATCTACGTCCTGGATCTACAGCCTCAGTCCTGGGTCTACAGCCTCAGTCCTAGGTCTACAGTCTCAGTCCTGATCTACAGCCTCAGTCCTGGGTCTACAGCCTCAGTCCTGGGTCTACAGCCTCAGTCCTGGGTCTACAGCCTCAGTCCTGGGTCTACAGTCTCAGTCCTGGGTCTACAGCCTCAGTCCTGCTCCCTATAACCCAATGGGCTTTTGTGTTTGTTATTATTACATTTCCTGTGTTTGAACCTTTGATTCTCTGATCTGTTGTTGGCAAATCCACAACTTTGTAAACTCCTCAGAGACGACTGCTGCTGTGATTTAGCGCGAGACGCTTAAACATGGAGTTGAAACTTCTCCCTGATGCCCTGGGAGAGAGTCTGTTCCTGGGCTGTGTCTCCTTCAGGTCCTACACATATCGGTCGTTCTCCGGGAGGAAGCTGCTGAGCGTCAGGTTGTCTCCGTTCTCCTCGTCGCTGTCTTCGTCACGGTGAAGGACCAGGACGCCGTTGGGCACCGGGCTGCGCTGCCGGGTGTAGCGGGCCGCAGGTTGCGAGCGCTGGAGCTGGACCGAGGACAAACACATCAGCTCGGTGCCTCGCTGCTGCCTCTTGAGCCTGAACCTCCTGGACGACAGCTTGGTGCAGAGGACGATACTGCAGACCATGAAGACCGTGGCCACAGCCGCCAGAGCCGCTATGACCATCAGGCAGGTCTTCGCCACGGCGATGGACGAGCAGGGCGCCTCGATTGTCTGAGGAACCAGGACGGTTTCTGTAGAGTTTGTGGTGTAGGACAGGTTTGTGAAGGCTGTGGTTTGGAAGTGTCCGGTGGCAGCTGTAGATTCAGTGGTGGTTGAAGATTTTGTGGTAGTTGTGGACCCTGTGGCGGCTGTAGATTCTGTGGAAGCTGTGGATCCTGTGGCGGCTGTAGATTCTGTGGCGGCTGTAGGTGCTATGGTACCTGTAGATTCTGTGGCAGCTGTCGATGTTATGGTACTTGTAGATTCTGTGGTACCTGTAGATTCTGTAGCGGCTGTAGGTTCTGTGGTTCCTGAAGATTCTATGGTACCTGTAGATTCTGTGGCGGCTGTAGATTCAGTGGTAGCTGTAGATTCCGTGGTAGCTGTAGATTCTGCCGTAGATGTAGAGTCCATGGCGGTTGTGGTGGCTGTAGATTTTGTGGTAGCTGCTGTTGATTCTGTAGCGGCTGTAGCTGTTGTTGATTCTGTAGCGGCTGTAGATTCTGTAGCGGCTGTAGATGTTGTTGATTCTGTGGCGGCTGTAGATTTTGTCGCGGCTGTTGCGGCGGTAGATTCTGTTGTGTGATTGTCCAGCGTCATGGTCGGCCGTAACTCTCCTCCTGACGCTATGCTAATGCTAACTGTTGCTATATTCGCGCTTGCTGTCGATGTTGGCGTTACCACGGTTACGGTGACTCCACCCCCCGCTGCGATGGTTCTGATGTTTGTAAATGTGTGTGACGCGGGCGGTACTTTTCTCAATGTTGTTGTAGACTCTGTGACTTTCAACTTGTTTTCGGGTCGGGCTGTTCCGCTTTCAGAGAGACTGTAGGAGGATGGATTCTCAGTTCTGGTTCTGGTTCTGGTTCTGCTGGGGTCTGTGGGCGATGAGGTGTTGTGAGACCAAACCTCATTGTGCGTCTCGGAGATGAGTTCTCTGTGTGTGTCTCTTGGTGTTGTTTCACTTCTTATTTCCAGGAAGAGAATTATAAATATTTCGACCAGAACAGAGAGCTTCTTCATGGTTCAGAACCTGCAAAAACAAAAAGACGTTTTAGATTTTTATATTCAGTCACTTCCTGTCACTGCACAAACCACAGGCGGTAGTTGTGTTTCAGTCTGACAGATACTCACTTCTCACTTTTGTAGTCGATGGCCTTATAACACGAGAAATACTGAAATATCTCAGATGTGACTACTCTACTCTACTCTACTCTACTCTCCCCTGATTGGGAGTGTTTCCTCTGGTCCTGTGTAACCAGTACCAGGTCCTTCTTTAGTCCCTCTTGGTCCTGGTTCTATCCAGGCCGAGCTGGTACTAAAGTGTTCTAACTGACAGTGAGTGTTCAGAGAGCTGCTGGAAGTCATGGTTACCAAGGAATTTCAGTAGAGCAGAGTATGAGTACAATAGAGTAGAGTAGAGTAGAGTAGAGTAGAGTAGGGTAGAGTAGAGTAGAGAGTAGGGTAGAATAGGGTAGACTAGGGTAGAGTAGGGTAGGGTAGAGTAGAGTTTGGTAGAGTACAGTAGAATAGGGTAGAGTAGAGTAGAGTAGGGTAGAATAGGGTAGAGTAGAGTAGAGTAGGGTAGGGTAATAAACAGACTTTTGAACGTCTCTGTTTTTATTGATTCAGAGTTTTTCAGATTCTAGTTTTAACTTTGTTTTTATTTGTCGTTAAACTCAACTTCAGCTTCAGGAACAAAAGCAGCGGAAAGTGACGAGTCTGAGGTGTTGTGAAACTACAGGGTTTTGCCACACTGCACATTTAACACACACACACAGAGACACACACACATAGAGACACACAAACAGAGACACACACACACACACAGACACACACACACAGAGACACACACACACACAGACACAGAGACACACACACATAGAGACACACACACACACACACACACACACGCACACACACACTGCATCATCTTTTACTTCAGTCACTAGGCCACTTTTACAACAGTCTGTGCTCAGTCTTATGTTGTTGTTGACTTATTTATATATACATTTATATATTTGATACATTTACATATTTTATGCATGTATATATTTGAATGTATATGTACATAAATATGCATTTGAGTGTCTGGTGCAGTGTGTGTGTGTGTGTGTGTGTGTGGCCGTACCTCACAGATGCACAGATCCGACCGAGGCTCAATGGAAACTGTTGAAGAAGCAGGAAATGTACCACTGCAAACGTCAATACCATCAACAGACTTCCTCCAAAAACTGGTTTCATCCAAAAGACATCTACAATCACTGATGTTGGACCTGATGTTGGTCTGACTGGAGCGGTGTCACTTCTGCTGCAAGACCAACGAGACCAGGAAGTACTCAGAGATCACTGTTATGACACTGATACTCTAAAGACAGGCTGTAGACCCAGGACTGAGGCTGTAGACCCAGGACTGAGGCTGTAGACCCAGGACTGAGGCTGTAGATCAAGGACTGAGGCTGTAGACCCAGGACTGAGGCTGTAGACCCAAGACTGAGGCTGTAGACCTAGGACTGAACCTTTACAGTTCATCTCTGTTCTGGATATTTGACTTGACCCCAACGGAACTCATACCAGGGGGATCCCAAACAGATGCAGAGTCCCCACCACTGGCTCCTCTTCACGTGGAGGAGCAGCGGCTTTACTCCGAGCTTCCCCTGTGTGACTAAGTCTGTTTACAGTCTATGGTTAATGACATGAATATGATAACTCTGATTGTTAAAAGGGGAAACTGAAAACGCCTGTAGAACTGTCTCTCTTGGGTTCAACAATTACAGTCTATGGTTCAACTAATAAATAATATATCACCATTTCTCTATTTTTAGTAGACAAATGGTGTTTAGATAAAAGACCATAAACAGAAATACTAATATAAGACTATTACCAATATACTTCTGTCTGCTCTATGGTTCTCTGCCCTGAACAACATATATACAACATGTTATGTTATGTTGTATGTTATGTTATGTATTATATATAATATATATGATATGTATGGTACATGTGATATATATGATATATAATTAGGTTTGCCTGGATCGGTTTGCACACCTGGTGTGCAAACCATGAATCTTGGTGCTGTAACCTAGACTAGCCGTGGCTGCTGCTGTCTCACCTCCTTTCAGATACGCTCTCTTTATTCAAGGCTAGGTTTAAAACAATCCTCTTTAGTTTAGCATATGGCTAGGAAGGTAAGACTCAGGGAAGGCTAAACTCCTCAGACTGTCAGTCAAGCTGCATAGGGAGTCAGTTTGCTGGAGAAGTATGGTAACTTGAGCACTATCCTCTCCTCCTTCCTACTTTACCTCCATCCTGGATCATCCACGTTCTAGCATCTATTCAGTGTCCCATTGTCTGTCATGGACGATGACGGTTGGCATGTGCGGACCCGCCCGACCCGCATGGGAGTGCTTCAGTACCGGACCTGGTTCAGCGGCCATGGTACACGTTCTGTGTAGCTTTGGCCTAGATTCTGTCCGTCCGGAGGAGCGGATGGGTCTCCCCTCCCTGTGGGTTTCCTAGGTTCTCCCCAAGGTTTCTCACTTTTTCCACTGGGTTTTTTAAGAGTTGTTCCTTGTGGATGCAGGAGGGTCTTGTTGGACAGTTAGTGTCAACAGAAAGGATTGGTGATGATCAGGACACTTTAGCATTCTACAACTATGTATGGACATTTTCTTCTGTGTGTGCTTTATGTTACTCTGATTCTTCATGTGTTATTAACTGTTGTTCTCTGACCTGTGTTGGTGATTTCAAGTGGAGGTTTTTGTTAAGTCCTCTGAGATGACTTCTGTTGTGACCGTAGGGCTATACAAGAATAAATTGTGGAACAAATTGTATTGTTGTAGTTGGTCTTTGTATGTTGAAAACTAACACGCACACACACGCACAATTCACTCATTAACAGGCACACACACATGCCACTCACATGCACATACAAACACATTACATACACACACAAAAAATATAGTGGTTTTGATTTTAGTAGTGACGTTTAGACACATTTCTCACATAACATTGATAATAAACGATTAATTATCTCATTCCTTGCTGCATAAACACTTTAAATTCCTCTATTGTCGTGTTTTTCTGACTGTGTGGGCTTTGGAAAGAATTCCACCTCTCTCCTCTCTGGTCAGAAATCATGTGAAAAGAAATATTGCGGCAATATAGTAGGAATGCTCCTTTGTATTGTCACGAATTTACACATAAGCACTGTAATGCAAATGATTTTGCTTTTGTTAATAAATGTGTGTAATGAGTGTGTGTTTGTGAGGGTGAATGTGGGCAACGGATGCAAATTTGCTACAATCCGGTGATGTGGTCATGAACGGAATAGTTCACCGTTTTTTAAATATGACATATGATTCGTACTTACCTTAGACTAGTTAATATGTTACACTGTCTGGTCTTAGTCCGTTGAGCTCTGTCATGCCAAACGGAGCAAAACCGGGGTGCACAATAACGCAGCCTCCTCTGTATACTGTGTAGGACCAAAAGGTAGCTCCGCTAGAAGCTTACCAAATCTTCCAAGTGTTCCCTATTAAATGTTTATAGTTAGTGACGTGTTACACTGCAAAGTATAGTAACAAGAAATGTAAACATGTCGATTGTCTCAGCGGATAAAACGGGACTATATTGTGAGGCGTTGTATTCTGAGGTGCCTACGTTCCGCGCACGACTTCTCTCCGGAGAGACGTCTCTCTCGCTCACTTCGTCATAGAAAGCAGCGTGACTTGTAGTACGGAGAGAAGTTAATGCGCGGGAAGTAGCGCTCTCAGATTACTACGCCTCACAATATAGTACCCGTTTATCCGGCTGAGAATAAAATCGGACAATTAATTTCTGTGTTACTTATACTTTGCTGTGAACACGTCACGTAACTATATTTCATTGTAATTGGGAACACTTGGAAGAGTTTGGTAGCTTCTAGGGTGAGCTACCTTGGGGTCCTATACAGTTTACAGAGGAGGCTGCGTTTAGTGCTCCGTTTTTGCTCGTTTGCATGAAAGAGCGCACGGACTAAGACCAGGACAGGTAATTTTAACTAGTCTAAGGTAAGGTAGAACATATGTCAGTAGGTAATTAACGGATGAACACTATCCTTTAAACATGTACTGTCCCAAACCAAATAAAACAATTAAATAAATAAGTAAGTATATGTATCTTATTTATATAGCACCTTTCACAGGACTAGTAGTCGCATAGCACTTCATAATAGTTGTGGGCAGTTTCTTTCAATCACACAGAGGTTGCCTGTACCACTGGAGACCTATTGTACATGTTTGTAGTGATGGGGAAACCGGAGTACCAGGGAAAACCTACGCAGAAATGGGTGAGAAACATGCCTATAACAGAAATTGCTTATGCCTGTTGTCCCTTCTTGTTTCATGGGTAAGTAAGTAATTTTATATATATAGCGTATTTTTACAGACCAAAGGTCACCCAAAGTCACCAAAGCGCTTTACAATGTTTAGAGTCCGTATCGTTCCATCATTCCACACACGGTGATTTCAAGCGAGTTACCGAAAAAACCACAGGACGCTTTCAATAGCCCCCATTGATGAACACACATCCATTCTCTCTCTCATTAACATTCAGAC